TTATTTTATGTTAATGGTTACTCGTTTATTTCAGCCCTTTGTATTCAGGATGTCTCTATCGAAATAAACCTACATTTCTATGAAAATTGAAGCTTTTGGTTTTTTTTTGTGGCCCACATAAACTTAACCCTTGTTTATTTGGCCCGTGTTAGCCTTTGAGTTTGACATGCTTGGTCTAGAGGAGTGAAGTTCAGCAACTCATTTCACAAGAGAGGAACTGAACTCAGAGAGGTTAAGCCACTTTCTTCACCCTCCTCTCAGTGAGAGCTTAGTTCTATTGAAGCTGATTTTGAGCATTGCATTTAGTCATAATGTCTGGGCCATGGGCCTTATTGTCATGAGGCTCCCATTTGACTGATTGACAAAGCAGAAAAACAGAGACGCGGTGGGCTGTGATGAGAAAATTCTGGCAGGAAATGAGGTAGCCATTACCACCCACGGCTCTCCTCTTTCTCTCTGCAAGGCTCCTTTATGAACCCTTGCAATGCCTCCAGCGGGGCTTCATCTAAATTGTGTTCATTTGCATGAGCTCTCATAATGAAGAAGTGTATTCTCAACTGGACTGGAACAAATCCTGTGGCTACTTTGTGCCTTCTGTGCTGTGTCCATCCCCTAGTGACCTGAAGTCATCTTCAGCATTGAGTCAGAGCTGGAGCAGAAAAAGGAGGTGATTGGCAGGAGCAGGCCATGGATTAAATGAAATAACATAATATGTGCCTGACACACCATATGCATTCATATCTGTTCGCACCTAGTGTCACTGCAATATTATAAAGCACAATACAGCCTTTCTTCTGGCTCAAAGGTATTGTGAGGCCTTCTAACTATTAACCAACCTAACAAGTTAAATCTATAAGTTTGTACTTATGCTTGAAAATCTGAATGTTGCATGTTAATTCCAGATAGATCACTCATAGGAGTGTAACAAGAAGTTGTCTGGAATGGACATTAGTTGGGTCTAAAATGAAAAGGCCCTTTGGATGTGCATCCCAACACATGGCGATGACAAGTCAAACGGCAGTAAGATGTGCTTCTCACCCTCAGATGGGGGGACAATTAGGTGTTCGACCGGGATCTGTGTTGTTTCCAACACACCTGGCCTGGGCTCTGCTGTGAGGAAAAGGTTTGTTCATCCTTGAGAGTAGAGCATGTGGGAGAGAAGCCTCTTCTGCAGATGTCCCTGGGTTTGAAGATGGCCTCTGATATTCAGTGCTCAGCTGAGAACAAAGCTTTCTAGAAAGTGTGCCCTGATGTTCTCTCCACAACCGGCGGCTTTATCAGCTGGAGTAAACGAATGAGCCTGACTCCCTGCCCATAGCTGGGACAGGAGGGTTTCACCGTTAGTTCTCACAGGGGCCTGACCTGGCAAATTCTTGTCCATGTGGGGATGATAGTTCTGGACAGCTGCATAAAAATGCGGCTGAAATTTGAGAAGCAAAAGAGTCAATGACAGAGGAGGCCAGACCTTCCCCAGGTGATGGGTATGGATGATTCAGTACACACTCGGGGACCCTTTGCTCAGTGAGTTCACATTGGTCCTCACAGTTCCAAAGACTCTCACACTCCAGATTAAGGCTTTCATCATTGTGAGCCCTTCAAGCAGAACGAGCCTGCTTGAATAGCTCTAGTGAAGAGAGGCCAGCCTCAGAAAATCACACTCTAAGCTCTGTTTGTATATATATATTTCAATAAACCCCCTTACCCAGATACAAAAGAAGTAAAGGGGTGTTTTTTTCCCTATTAAAAAAAAGAAAAGAAAACACCTTAATTCTTCCAAGAGATCCTATTTTCCTTGTATAATACAGATAAAATCTAATAATGCATAAGCACTCATAACCTCTGACACTCCAACTGACCCTCCTCTTGCCCATAAGGAAAATTCTAGAAATTCTAGCATTCCTGATTTGGCATTTTTCTCTTTGATCATGTTCTCCTCCCTATTGTTTTTCTCCCCTCTCTACCCACCTCCCCAACAATCATTTTTATTTTGAAGATTTAGTTTATTAGAGAACAGGAGAAGCATTAGCTAGAGAATTTGTACTGGAAATGAAGAAAAAAACCCCCCAATAAATCTAAGAATGCGTTAGAGTGCTACAAGAGTCTAGTAGGGTAAGTTTCAGAGGGTTTTAAGTTGGGAGTTGGGAATGGGAGAGAAAATGTTTCCTAGAGCAACTTCCATCTACATGGAAGATATTGAGAGTTGAAGAGCTGAAGAGAGAGGATGACTAAGGTGTTCGACTATAGGTTAAGAAGGAGGCCTTTTGAGAGACGGAATTTGAATAGTTTTTAATGACTCCGTAGTTGTCTGACTGTTTTCCTTTGAATTGGGAGGCACTGTTTAAAGTTTGGGCCATGAGATAAGCCAATTATACTCATAGTTTCAAAAAAGAAAAACACAGTGAAACGCTCTTTGCACCGAATGCAGCAAACCTGCCTTAAGAAGCACTTCTTTCCATTAACCATCAGAAGTGTGGCCAGTGCCAGTGTGTGCTGGCCGCACCGTATCTCCCAAAGCTTCTCTCCTTTGGAAGCTGGGTAAATTGCATACTTTAGTGGTTGCTCTCACCGCTGCCACAGCACCATGCTTACTTGCTGCTGGCAGTACTTTGCTGAGTGTGCAGGGGTGCAGTCCCTGCCAAGATCCAACGCCATGTCATTGCCATTCTTGCCCCTCCTCACCCAACCCAATTCCTGATGATGCTCCAAAGATAACAGGAACTATGGTCTTTATCAACTCAAACCACTTCTACCAGTGTTCCCAACTACTGTCAGAACCACCTGGTGTGGAGGCAAAAGGAGAAAACCCATTCTTTATAATCCCTACTATCTTCTAAGGAAGGTTGCTCCTAATGAATGGAAGGCTCTCAGTTAAGCTGATTCCCTTGATGAGTTTCTATCTGCAAGTTTCAGAGCAGCATCTATAAGAGAGAAAAAATGCTCTGCACAATAGGAAGGGAGGAATTTGAGGTTCACAGGGTGTGTACAGAGAAAAGAAGGAAAAATAGAGCATGTGAACTATCCATTCTAACTCCAAATCTTTAGCAAAAACTACTAAACTCAAAACATGGTGCTGCTTCTGAGTCCAAGTTGATGCCCAACAGAGACAGGACACACAGACTCAGGATCCATTGGTGGAGAGTACCAAGAGAATAAACAACTCTCGGGACTTCACAAAAGTCACAGAGAGGGCTGTGGCACTGAGGGTTTTGAATGAAGTTTGCCTGGATCTCTTGGACAGCTGATATTGGGTGTTCATTTAAAAGGTTTTCAGTATAGAGTTGGGGAGAAAACTTTAGAATGCAAGCGCTCCTGACACAGACAATTCATTGGCATAAATATACAGTCAGGTATAAAGAACTGAGGTCTGATTAAAAGGACTTATGCAAAAGTACATGTAAGAATCTGAAGTAGAAGAAGGGTGAAAGAGAAGAGATACTAATGGGGAAAGGGGTGGAGAGAAGGCAGGTATGTCTGCACCTGGGCTAATAAAACTTTGCAACACATATGGGAGAAAGGGGTACACATCAGATGACTGACAGGTATTACTTTTTCTGCATTGTTTTATACATTATGAATGTAATAAAAAAATTTAAAGCTTCTCAAATTTGGTTCTTAAATCCCAGTGACATAAAATAACATCCATTCTCCGACATATTCTTTTTAATGTCTTAAAAAAATCAGGTGTGAGAATTTAAGATATTACAGTATATACATTCTGAAGTTAATACTCTGTCTTTTTTTTCATTTTTAACATTTCCCCTCAAAAAGAACATATTCTTATTGTAAAAATGTTTTTATGTGCATTTTAGTTTCACTAAGTCACTTCCAAGAAATGACTTCATGGTTAGATTACATGACATTGGACACATGTTTCTCCACCATTGCCCCACTCCCTAGGATAAAAAAACTACAAATGCCAATTAGTATGATTAAATTGAGACAATTCCAATTGCATTAGGGAAATTTGAAGCCGCTTTGAATTTTTTTTTTTAATGTACAATTCAGTGGTTTTTATTATATTCAGAATTGTACAATCTAACAATTACCACTATCTAATTTTAGGATCTTTCCTTTTTCTTTCTTTCTTTTTAAAAAGACATGCTCAGCCCTAGCTGATTTGGCTCAGTGGATAGAGCCTGGACCTGCGGAAAGGTCTAAGGTAGCGGTTCTCAACCTGTGGGTCGCGACCCCTTTTGGGGGGGGTCGAACGACCCTTTCACAGGGGTCGCCTAAGACCATCGGAAAACACATATATAATTACATATTGTTTTTGTGATTAATCACTATGCTTTAATTATGTTCAATTTGTAACAATGAAATTGGGGGTCACCACAACATGAGGAACTGTATTAAAGGGTCGCAGCATTAGGAAGGTTGAGACCACTGGTCTAAGGTTTATTTCTACCTCAATTGCTGGCTCCTACCCAGCCTGGCCATGGTCCGGGCTTGGGCAGGAGGCAAACAACTGATGTGTTTCTCTCACGTCGATTATTTCTGTCTTTCCCTCCCTCCCCCACTCTCTCTAAACATCAATGGGAAAATATCCTCGGGTGAGGATTAAAAAAACAAACAAAGGTGGGTAACCTGGTCAGAAGGTCAAATCTTCAAAGTGCATGCAAACTGCTCCTCCCAGGGGGTGTGGACTGAATGTTCGAGAGCATCTCCAGGAAGGCCTGCGGGGATGGTGCCTCCACATTCTGGAAGGTGTTCTGGACTCTGCTGAACAGGAAGAAGTGTTTCATCTCCAGCCAGATGAACCCCAAGTGGTTCTCATCGAACAGGATGAAGACTCCAGGGAAGTGCCTGGGGTAGGCTGAACCATCTAAGGTAACAGTAACAGTGTCCACGGCATAGAAACACATCCTGCAGGTTCGGGGGTAGTTCTGCTCTCTTGAGAGCATGTCCACAGGCAGAACAAAGGGAACAGTCTGCTCCTCTGAAGCTGCATCCCGGGACTCTCTGACGCTGGGCCGGGCAGGGCTCTGCCAGCCATGGCCCTCGCTTTCCTCAGTCCCGTTTTCTTGCTGCTGCTGCTGCTCCCGGATCACCTGCTCATCAATCTCCTGGACCACGCGGGAGAGCTTGTGGAAGTTGCGGAAGATCTCGCCATCTCGCAGCTGGATGCGGCGCATGAGGTGGATCTCTAACGCTAACGTCTTGGCTATTCCCATGACCTTCGTGATCCTGGCATACTTCCCATGGAAGCTGAGCATGGCAATCGTTAGGCCGAAGGCATCGTATTTGCTTTGGAAGAGGCCTGGCCTGATGAGGTCGTCCGGGTGGCTCGGCGGGAGGTAGAGGCGGCGGTAGGCCAGGCAGTCATACCGCTGTCTGTCCTCCAGCACCAGCCCCACTTCTTCCCTAAGCCGCGTTGGTGAATCCTTTCGGTGGTCTGTCTTGATGCACTGGGTGGTGAACCTGTCCTTCTGAATCTGCATGTGGCAGTTGTGGGGCCTGCTATGGAGGCCTTCCATGCACTCCACCGTGGCTGATTTCCTCTCTGTCAGGCGAATTCTGAACGAGGGCTTGAAAGGTATTGGGCCATCCACATGGGTGCGAAGGGAAGGCCCGTACGTCCAACCAGTAATGCATAAGCCATCCAACACTACATTCAGCAGTCTTCCATAGTCATTATCTAGCTGCCACAATCCCAAAATGTTTCTGTGTGGGTGGAGCAGCTTCGCATAGACTTCCGAATAAGACATACCGATCATCTCCAGGTTCTGCAAGTTTTCACGAAAGCCAAACTCCTCGCGGCAGCGCCGTCTCCAGATGCTGTCGATATGCAGGATATGGTGGAATTTGGTGCAGGCCTGGGCCAGGCTGGGCAGGTCGGTGCCGGGGAGCGAGGCAAAGATCTTCACCAGCACCTCCACCGGCAGGTCCTGCAGCGAGCAGTGCGGGGGCGGCCTGGGGCTCGCGATTCCTCCACTCCCCTCACAGCACCGCACTGCCGTGTCCGCCTCAACGTGCTTTTCTGCCGGGGCCGGCTTGCCGTGGGCCACTGCCTTCTCAGCGAGGCGCTGGCGCTTCTGAGGACACCCCTCGGCTGCTGCCGACTCAGCTGGGCGCTGGCGCTTCTGGCGACAGCGACATCCCCGCGAAGAGCCCACACTGCAGAGGCAAGCGCACTCCTCCATGCCTCCACGAGTAACAGCCACCACAGAGTGGGCCTCTGCTCCTCAGCCAAGATTTAAGCTGGCTCTTCCCGCCCTAGAGTCCAGTCACGCCCCCCAGGGCCTAGCCACGCCCCCTCAGAGAGGAGCCAATTGTAGGACTTTGGCTACCTATTAACAGTAGCCTCCTTTTCCCAGTGCCCCCTCCCTGTCCTCCAGCTCTAACCCCAGGCAGTCACTAATCTGCTTTCTGTAGGGATATGCCTCCAGGGATATGCCTGTGGGGAGGGGGAACATTTCACAGAAATGCAGTCATAATATCTGGTCTTTTGTGACTGGCTTTTTTCACTTAGCATAACATTTAAAAGTTTTATGTATGCTATATTCTAGTGTATGGGTATACCACATTTTGTTTACCCATTCATCAGTTGATGAGTATTTGGGTTGTTTC